AATTATAATGTGGGAGTGGTACCTGAAACAAACACGTTAGTTAATGTTAATTTCAATTAGCTGTCACACAGTTAACTTGGAGCCTTACATGTATAAAAGTATATCCATCGTTGCTCTGGTGATTCTTTGAGTTATTCATTATAAAAGTTACAAAACCAATGTCATCATATATTTCTTTACAGACATTTCCGGAAGCCATTTGTGAAGCAGATAGCAGCAGGGTGGCGTCTTCCCACCGCTGACCAGCTTAGCTAGCCAACGTAAAGTGTAGGAATGCTAACGAGCAGCAACAACTCGTTAGAAATGTGTTGACATGTAAAGCAATAAAACATTCCCACTCATAATTGGTTGATATTTAAAGTACGCGTGTGGTTAATTAGCCACAAATGAGAATAATTCCCATTGAAGACTTTCTGAGCTGACGCTAGTGCAGCTGAGGACCTCCGTCGCAAAGAGTCGAGACTGAATAAGACGGTTTTAAAAACAGCGACATGCACGTTGCTTCAAATCTGAGAGGGTAAAATGAGAGAACAAAGGTGAGTACAAAAGAAACAATGCACAGACGGGTGTATTTGTCTCCCATGTGGACGCGAGCTAACACAACAGCTCATCGAAGGCCCTAAAACAGCCCGCGTCCTGTTCTGATCATCCCACACCGGAGCACAACACCAACCTGCTGGGCTGCCAGTGGTTCCAGTGTGGCCGCAGTTTGTGGGCGCCGCTGAGCCGAGTCCCTGTGGCTTTACGGCTCATTACCTTTCACAGCGCTGCATATCCCGCCGACAGCGGTATCCGTGTCTCCCCTCGGCTTTACTCTTCACATTTGTTTTGACAAGTCTCAGGAATTGGTTAGCAATTTGACATTACAGCTAGCTAACGACGGGCTTCCTCCTCCTCCTCTTCTTCTTCTTCTTTTTCTTTTTCTTTCACTTCTTCGGATGTTGACGGACGGCTGTTGTGGCGCAACACCGCCACCTTCAGGCTTACAACGTCAGTCACCCTATTTGGCGGCAACCTTTTGCGTCTGTTTTAAAATAATATATTTTTATGAATAGAAATGACCAAGTTGTAGTCGTTTTGGTCAAACCTTGAACTCTTTGCAAGATCCCATCTTTTTATATCACCACTTCTGACCTCAGAATAATGGCTCTCTCAGCGACCACATCAGATTTTCTGTCAGTGTCTGTTAAATTGTCAGTTTTGCATCAGCCTGGTTAAAACCAGCCGCTTGAATTGAGCAGATCTACATTGGAAGGCAAGGGCCAGGCTAGTGTTACATACACTGTAAGGAAAAATACTCCATATCTACTCAATAAAAATCAAGCAACACATTACAAGCAATAACATTAACTGTATTTTACAATGTTTGGAATTCAGTAAAAAAAATAATTAAATTGGACCCTTAATAGTTATTAATTTAATATAAGTAGATTTGAATAGAAAACAGTACAGAATTAATTATAACCTAAACAAAAACAGTGAGTAGATTTGAAAACGATAAACTTGTCAATGTGTAAATAGTAGTAATAAAAAATTATTTCATTATACATCTAAATGTACTATAACTGAGTAATAATTATCTACATTAAGCTGTGCATTTGAAATAAATTAAATCTAAATATTAATAAAATTAAAGTAGCAAAAAACTGACTAGATGCTAAAAGTGACAACATTTCAGCAGAGAATATTTTGTTTGGTCTCTCAAGGTGTTGTAGTGTTGTAGCGGGGAGCAAATTTATCTTTAAAACACAAAATATGACATTCATGCATTCATGCCCTCGATGAGAGGATGAAATCTTTACATGCAACTTTGTGTTTCTATTCAGCTGTTCAAAAAAAAAAAAAAAAAAAAAAGAGAACTGAAACATAAAAGAAACCAGTGTGTAAAAAAAGTTTTATTTATTGGACTCAGGCGATCAAACACTACAAAACTATGAAAGTCACAAACACAAAGACATGATTGTCACCATGTTCCCGACACTAGTGCACAAAGACTCGACAACGGAGGGTTTAGATTTGGTACAAAAACATCTGCAACTAGAGAAATTGTATTTCCTGTGAAAATGCTAGTGTGAATGCTTCATGCTGTAAACTTAAGCTGAAAGCTGCTGAAATTGAGCTGAAAATATTTAATAGCAAAAGTGTTGTGAGCTCACTTTGAAAAGCTGAAAGCAAAAAAAAAAACTAACTTTGCAGAAAAACAGTAAAATGGAGCACAAATCTGGTTGAAACAACAGAAAACAGCTAAAGGCAAAAACAGTTGTATAGCTGAAAACATGTAAGAAGCATAAATAGCACAAATGTGTCATGATTCTTGCTTGTTATGGTTCATTTTATTAGAATTTTTTGTTTCATTGTTTGGTCATCTTGTCTTATTTTCCCATTTCCTGTTAGTTTTCTCCATTTCCTGTATCACGTTATCCTCAGCAGCTTCTTAGTATTTTTCCAGCCTGCCACACTCACCTGTCCATTGTCAGTCATCACCCATGTTCTTCCACTCCCCAATAATCCTCAGTTGTATTTAACCAGTGTCATGTCTTCATCGCCTGCTGCTGCCCAAGCTGAGCTCTCATCGCCTGCTGCAGCATCACCAGAGCCCTCATCACCTACTGCAGCATCACCAGAGCCCTCATCACCTGCTGCAGCATCACCAGAGCCCTCATCACCTGCTGCAGCATCACCAGAGCCCTCATCACCTGCTGCAGCATCACCAGAGCCCTCATCGCCTGCTGCAGCATCACCAGAGCCCTCATCGCCTGCTGCAGCCACATCTTCTCTGTCTGGTCCATCACCTCCCTCATTTTCAGTTTCTGAGTATCCTGAGTCTAAGCCTGCCCCAGAGGTCTCCTGGTTTCTGTCCGGACTGATCCAGGGCTCCAGCTCTGCCTCGGCTGGCTATTGGGCCATCCTCCAGAGCCATGGCTCCGCCTTGGCTGGTCCCTGGGCCGACCTTCTGAGTTCCTGTTTTGTCTCAGCCTGTGCCGGTTTCCTGAACTTTTGCTTTCCCTCAGATGCACCTAGGGTCATCTTCAGACTGTCATCTTCAACCAGTGTCATGTCTTCATCACCTGGTTGGATCATTGCCTTTCATGCCTCTTCTCTGTCCATGTTTTCTTTTGTATTGCTGCCACGCCAGCCTTTTCTTTTGTTATTTAATAAACCAGTTTTTGTTTTTTTCATTTATCAAGTCTGCCTGCACTTTGGGTTCTACCACACCAATCCTTACAGAATGATCCAACCAACAGAACCCAGCAGGCAGATTTTTTCTTTCCATCCTTACCTGCTTGATATTTGCTCCACCACCCTCCACAGTTAAACTGGATCCAGCTAACATCATGAGACTTTTGGAAAAGCTATATCAGGGGCAGAGGGAGCTGTCTAAGCTCTCTGCTCTCCTGTCTTCACCTGTGGGCTCTGCAACAGTTCCAGCCACTGGTTCCCCGCCCGCTGCAGGGCCTTCACGTTCATCGCCCACTGCTGGGTCCTCTCCTCCAGGCTCTCCAGAGGGGGTCCCAGATGCCTCACCTCCAGGCTCTTCAGAGTTGCCTCCGAGGGGGTTCTGGACACCCCTTTCCCCTGTGCCATCTCTCGAGCCTGTCTCTCCTGAGTCCTGTTTCGGCATCCTCAGCAGGGGGGAAGCTGCAGCCCAAGCTGAGCTCTCATTGCCTGCTGCAGCCCAAGCTGAGCTCTCATCACCTGCTGCAGCATCACCAGAGCCCTCATCGCCTGCTGCAGCATCACCAGAGCCCTCATCGCCTGCTGCAGCCCCATCTTCTCTGTCTGGTCCACCATCTCCCTCATTTTCAGTTTCTGAGTATCCTGAGTCTAAGCCTGCCCCAGAGGTCTCCTGGTTTCTGTCCGGACTGATCCAGGACCAACCTGCAAGGCTCCAGCTATCCAGTTATCCTCAGCAGCTTCTTAGTATTTTTCCAGCCTGCCACACTCACCTGTTCATTGTCAGTAATCACCCATGTGCTTCCACTCCCCAATAATCCTCAGTTGTATTTAACCAGTTAGCAATCATTGTATTGGATCATTGCCTTTCATGCCTCGTCTCTGTCCATGTTTTCTTTTGTATTTTTGCTGCCACGCCAGCCTTTTCTTTTGTTATTTAATAAACCAGTTTTTGTTTTTTTCATTTATCGAGTCTGCCTGCACTTTGGGTTCTACCACACCAATCCTTACATAAATGAGCAGAAAAACCCCCGCAAAAAGTAGAAAACATCAGAAGAATAGCAGAAAGAAGCAGATCTAAAGCTGAAAAATAATAAAAAAAGGTAAAATTAGCATAAAGATAGCCTAAAATTAGCAGCCAGAAGTTGTAAATAACACCCTGAATATAGCAGAAAACATCTGTATAAAGCATAAACAACAAATTGGCAAAAATAAAAAAATAAAAAAAAAACTAGGAAAAGGCAGAAGAATAGCAGAAGCAGAACTATAGCCACAAATTAGCACAAATAAGCTAAAGGTAGCAGACAGAACTTGTAAGTAGCACCCAGATAGTGAAAGTGCTATAAAAAGTTTGAAAATTGCAGAAAAAAAACAGCCAAAATGTTCAGTAAAGCAGCTAAAATGTAGCTGGAATTTTCTTTATTAACATAAAGAAGCATAAGGAGCACAAGTTTGCTGAACTTAGCAGAAATAAGTTGTAATAGCTAAACTGTGTATTTAGCTTAAAACAGCTAACTTTAGCTAATAACAGCTGAACTTTATCTAAAATTGCAGAAAATAGCTGAATGTAGAAAAAAGCACCTGTAAGAAGCATAAATAGCACAGAGTAGCAGAAAAAAGTAGAAAAAGGCAGAAGAATAACAGAAAGAAGCAGAATTTGAGCTGAAATAGCAGAAAAAAGCTAAGATTAGCAAAAAAAAAGTAGCTAAAATTTGCACAAGAAAGTGAAAAAGAGCAGACCCAGAACAAAATTTGGAAGGTGCTGTAAAGATTTAGAAACATTTGGAAGGGTTTTAAGGATGCTGAAAACAGCCCCATTCATTTTCAATGGGAAAAAAGTGACTGAAAAAGTGAAATAGCTGAAAAAGTTTAAATAGCTGAAATACCAAAAGTCATAGCACCCTTAGCATAGATGAGCTGAACATTTTGATATATGAAAAGGCCAGCGAGTTAGATGCTGAAATATGTACAGAAGAAAAAACTTATCTCAATAGTGTGAATACAATGAAGCATAAAAAGGTGACGACTCTGCCTCAGGTCCTGCTCAGAACTTACAAGAACTTATCAGAAAGAGCAGTTCAACACATGCACAAAAAGGAACAGTTTTGTTTCATTCATCATTCATGTTCCTCAACAAATTTGAGCAACTTTTGATGTAGCATTTCAAAATATTGACATTCCCAATACTGACATTTTACAATTATGGTTCCACCAAGCTACTGTCTTTATTGCAACTAAACGGCTAGTTGTCAGAGGCTAGTCTCACCACAGTCTGACTCCAGAAGTCCCCCAGATGTTCCTCAACACTTTTGAGCAACTTCTGATGTAGCATTTTAAAATAATGGCACTCGCAAAACTTACATTATAACTTGCTGTGCACCTAAGTTGCTGTCTTTATTGCATCCAAATGTCTAGTTGTCAGAGACTGGTCTCCCTTCAGACTGACTCTCAAAGACCTCCAGATGTTCCTCAACATTTCTGTGCAACTTCTGTTGTAGCTGTTCGAAATAAAATCACTCTAATTATTGACATGATACCTTTAATGTTACCCTAATTTACTGTATTTATTGCAACTAAACAACTAGGAGTCAGAGACTGGTCTCACTTAAAATGGACCCTAGAAGTCTTCCAGATGTTCCTCAACAAATTTGAGCAACTATTGATGTAGCATTTCAAAATATTGGCACTCCCAATACTGACATTTTACAATTATGATTCCACCAATTTGCTGTCTTTATTGCAACTA